TTTTCTAAATTTCTAATGAATGTTTTCAACTGTTAATCATTTTCAAACATTTACACCATGCAGGGTTAACCTTACAGTAGTGCTCAACACTGTCAGCCTTTCAAAATCCTTCATCACTTGAATTAAGATGATCAAATTTGAACACATCCACCACAAAATCAGACTTTAGTACCGCCTTTTATTTTGAGATTGATCTGAAGTTCAATGCAGATTTAAAATCATAAGAAATAGTTTACTGATACTGTTTTTTGAAATAACTACAGGAAACCCTGCATCTAACAATGCTTTGGATTTTTTTTTTTTAAATAGGCTACAGTAGGCCGAACCATGTTTTTTTTGTTTTTTTTTTGGCAAATGGATTACCATTTGTCTTTATTTTTACTACAAATTCCATGGTTAAACTATGGTTAGTGTAGCCAAAACCATGGTTAATAATTTGTGGTTACCATGGTTAGGTAAAATCACTGTTAATTTCCGTAAGGGTTGTGTTGTTGTCTGCCCTAGCACACGCACTAAACAAAGAGTGACAGAGACAGAGACAGTGACAGAGCAGAGCCAATTCATAAAAGAACAATATTTAAAGCACCTGGGGTCGGTGCCACCCCTGGCCACCACGTAGACACGCCCCTGCTGCCAAGCCACCGGGAATTGTCCCGGTTCTCCCGATGACCAGTCTGCGCCTGATTTCCACAGAGACACGCAGAACGTGCAGGATTCATATATTGTCTTTTTGCTGCTGAATATTTACAGACCCTAGTCCTTATCGCGTTTTGATTCAAGTGTACTGACCTACTTTTGATTTATTCGTCCAAATGTTGCATATTCCGTGACATTCCGCGTTATAGGAATTCCAACCAGTCCGTGTTTTCCGCATCGCGGAAATCATAGGGCCATATGTCTCATATTTTAGAGTAGTCAGAGCAATTTGGGAAAGAAATCAATTAAATCTGTATGTGGATGTGTGTAAATATTCAAATGTAACCCCCTTTAATCGTTAACATTTTCATAAGTAACTGTAATTTAATTACACATTTTTTCTTAGTAACTGTAACTGATTATAGTTACATTTATTTTGTAATTAAATTACGTAACGCCGTTACATGTAACTAGTTACTCCCCAACACTGGCTACGCGCTGCTGCGCAACAGCAATCTGTCGCTCCACATTAAACAGTGCCAAAACGGCATTTATTGTTTGAATACTGCAATACAATGGACAGACTGAGACTTTGTTTCATATTAAAAGTACCAAAGCACAATGCTTATTGCGATATATTGGATGGGAGGTGTGCTTCAATATTCCATCCAATAACTGAAAACAGGATAGAATAATCTATCAGTCATCAGCCCAGAGCTGCTTCAGTTTACAACAGTGAGTGCAAGCTAGATTAAAGTGATTATTACGTTTTTAATATGGATATTTTTCTTACAAAAACGCATCGATTCGCTACAGAAGGCCTTTGTTCACCACCCGGAGCCGTGTGAGACACTTTTTTTTATGGATGGGTGCTTTTTATTTAACTTCTTTTGGACGAACGCATGCAACACCCTCTGAGTGCCATGAAACAGCTTGAAAGATCAAAGACAATTTTTAATATACCTCCGACTGGATTTGTCTGAAAAAATAAAGTCATATACACCTAGAATGACTTGAGGGTGACTAATTTATGGGCTAATTTTCATTTTTGGGTGAACTAACCCTTTAAGAATCGATATCGTTCCGTAAAAATGAGAATCGATTAATATCGAGATATCGATATTTTTTTACCAAGCCCTAATAAGAAAGCAGAAAATGAGGGATGCATAAAAAATAATATGAATATTAAAAATATAAATCTAAAATCTTAATAGTTGTAAACCTGGATAGTCGCTAGTAAAAAGTTTCATTGCAGTTTCATGTGACTGCAACATGACATTTATAGCTTGGGTGAATGGCTTGCCATTCTTACCAAAACACTAGTGTAAAAGTTATTTTGTATCATTTTTGTGTCTGTAGTTTCTGTTTAACTGCCAAATAATAATTCTTAATTGAAGTAAACCAACAAACCGCTGTAATTATTCCACTAGTTACAGTGTCAAGAACAATTATCATTCCTGTATATTTAGTTCTCTTACAGTGCTTGAAATAGAGAGTCTTTATTCCAAGATCCCACTTCATATTGAATCTTTAAAGGGGTCATGAACTTCATTTTTTTATTATTATTTTATAATGTTCTATGAGGTTCACTTACAATGGTAGTGTGATTTTACATTAAAAAAACATAATTTAGAAGTAATAGGCTATTTTATATCCTGTTTTTGAGCCTCTCTGCAGAAGGGTCTGTTTTTATAGGCGGGCAGAATTCATACTTAGCCACACTATTACATCATAAAGTGACACATTCCAAAATGAGTCATTTTCTGAGCTTGGTTTCAATCAAAGCTGTTTTTAAACTAACGAGAAAGTTTTGAGTTTTGAAACTTAGAGGATGTTTTTATAGTACATTGACCTGTTATTTGTCAGAAGATAAAAGGAAATGTGATTTCTCAGTTCATGACCCATTTAAAGCTACTTTCCGTTATTACATAAGACCTCAGTAGATACAGGCAGGCAGATAAGGCTTCAGATCTTTTTCCATAGCAGTATAATAGAGGCCAACATCAATACTTCATCTTTCCCTTGCAGGAACACTTCCCCGGGATTAGAAATGGTCCTTCCCTCCCTTTGTATTATTCCAAAGAGCCACAATGTTCCTTTCTCCCTGTTAATGAACGCAATAGGGAGCATCTCTATCCACAGAGCAGTCAGAATCCAGACTCACAATGGAGAAGTTCCCTGGTGCACCTCGAAGACGCTTATCACTGCTCTGCAGACGTACTGCACTCTATTGTTGGCTGTTTGCTCTTGTAGGGATTCCGTAATATTCTGAGGGATTAGGAACCAATTACTGAATGACCAACTATCTCCTCCAAAGATGTTAACCTAGCATGGAGCAACTTCTCTTCTGCTGCATTTAATTCCCATCATCTTTAGAGCATGAGTTAAACTTTGAAAGTTATTACTCATTCTATGATGATAGTTAGCGTCTCTGACATTTCCAGCAGTCTAGAGCATGTTAATTATGGCAACATCATTAGCAATATTTACATTAATTTCAGTCTTCATGATTACATTAGCCTACTAGTCACATATATGTGTTGACTTACTAAGCTTAATTGATCCCTTAGGAAAATATAAAATCACAAATGAGATCTCATTAATATAATTTCTCTCCAACAGCATATAGATTAGAGTCTAAGCAAATATAGATGTTTGTTCTCCTGATTCTTAGATTTATGTCCTGAGCAGAAGTTTAGTTTCAGAAGAGATCTTGACATTGTCACACACTGTACTTTTTTAAGCTCTTAAATTGAGGCTGGAAGGAGGTGCTATGAAGCATGTGTAAAAGTTAAAGCAAAAAATAGTCTCAGTCATCACGTTTATTCAGCGATGACACATGCAAATGATCTAAAGTGACATTTATAACGTTAGAAAGTATTTCTGTTTCAAATAAGTTCTCTTCTTTCGAACTTTCTATTCATCAAATAATCCTGGAAAAAAGTATCACTGTTTAATATGAAAATATTAAGCAGCACAAATGTTTTTAACTTTGATAATAAGAATAAGTGTTTCTTGAGCAGCAAATCAGCATATTAGAATGATTTCTGAACGATCATGTGATACTAGAGACTGGAGAAATGATGCTGAAAATTCCATCATAGGAATAA